CCTCTGGCACTAGCACATGTGGGTCGGCAGCAGAATGAAAAAACTGCCAAATGGTAGTCTATGGGTCAATTTAAAAAAAGATAATTATATTCTGTATGAAGGCTGACAAAAATGCAGCTGTCTATATTTGACATATTTACACTGGTCAGACTGTTGTCCTCATCTTTATTGCCATGTTCACAACTTTTCGAAATTCTTATCACCTGAAGAAGACCGGAGCGTAGAACGGCCGAAAACATTGTGAACATAACAATAAAAAGATAAGGACAATAGTTCGAACAATGTAATTAATGTAAAAATGCTGTTGTTTCTAGTTTTTACTTGCGCACAAATATATTTTAGTTCTAAACTTTTCTAGGTTCAACGTGGCGCCAAAGCTGTATACAATCGCTTTCTAAGATCTGTGGAGAAAAAAAGGCTCTGAGCGAGTGAAACCTGAGGTTCTTGGTAATGATCAACCTTCTTTAAATATTGTGGACTGGCACTACAGAATGGCAAAGATCTGTACCAAATAACAAAAACCACATCACTTGAGGAGATTCAACAAAAACAACTGATAAAATTGATGTAACTCAAAATGAAAATAATGACATAATCCAGATGTTGACATTCCACACTACTTAAAACAAAAGGTTAGAAAAGAAACCATCATCAATACTGGAAAGAGCTATAACAGCTACTGAAATTGAGAAATCTATTTTCCTATTGTTTTAAGAGAAAGATTTTATAAATTTAAACCGAAAGCACGACTGGCTGCACAGTCTATGAATATCAAATGTTTCCTTATAGGGAAACGGCTAATATTAGCATTTGCATTAATATATGGCACAATTACTATTATAAATGATCCGAGTAAAAACCGTACTCCGTTAACATTTTTTAGCAAAACAGTTCAAAAAAGCTGAGAGAAATTGCAATTTCCAGTTTAATTGGGCAACCATTTTCCAAGTGATTTTTAAGTATAAATTAATAAAAAGAATAGTCTCTTCATGGAGGATAACCCCTGGTCTGTTAATTGCAAATTACATTGTCATTTTTCTCTAACTCTCGGTACTCTTCCCCGTTAACTACCAGGGGAGACATTTTGAAGATCATTTGTGAATATCTATGCTGATGATACAACGGTATATAGGCGCACTTCCTAAACCATAAATGACCAGAGTTTGGCAGCTGATCTCGCCTTTGACCCCCAAACACCTAAAACGACCAGAGTTTGGCAGCTGATTTCGCCTTTGACCTTCAAAACTCTAAATGACCAGAGTTTGGCAGCTGATTTCGCCTTTGACCTTCAAAACTCTAAATGACCAGAGGTTGGCAGCTGATCTCGCCTGTGACCTTCAAAACTCTAAATGACCAGAGCTTGGCAGCTGATCTCGCCTTTGACCTTCAAAACTCTAAATGACCAGAGCTTGGCAGCTGATCTCGCCTGTGACCTTCAAAACTCTAAATGACCAGAGCTTGGCAGCTGATCTCGCCTTTGACCTTCAAGACTCTAAATGACCAGAGCTTGGCAGCTGATCTCGCCTTTGACCTTCAAAACTCTAAATGACCAGAGCTTGGCAGCTGATTTCCCCTGTGACCTTCAAAACTCTAAATGACCAGAGCTTGGCAGCTGATTTCCCCTAAAACTCTAAATGACCAGAGCTTGGCAGCTGATCTCGCCTTTGACCTTCAAAACTCTAAATGACCAGAGCTTGGCAGCTGATTTCGCCTGTGACCTTCAAGACGCTAAATGACCAGAGCTTGGCAGCTGATCTCGCCTGTGACCTTCAAAACTCTAAATGACCAGAGCTTGGCAGCTGATTTCGCCTGTGACCTTCAAAACTCTAAATGACCAGAGCTTGGCAGCTGATCTCACCTTTGACCTTCAAGACTCTAAATGACCAGAGCTTGGCAGCTGATCTCGCCTTTGACCTTCAAAACTCTAAATGACCAGAGCTTGGCAGCTGATTTCGCCTGTGACATTCAAAACTCTAAATGACCAGAGCTTGGCAGCTGATCTCGCCTTTGACCTTCAAAACTCTAAATGACCAGAGCTTGGCAGCTGATCTCGCCTTTGACCTTCAAGACACTATATGACCAGAGCTTGGCAGCTGATCTCGCCTTTGACCTTCAAAACTCTAAATGACCAGAACTGGCAGCTGATTTCGCCTGTGACCTTCAAAACTCTAAATGACCAGAGCTTGGCAGCTGATCTCGCCTTTGACCTTCAAGACTCTAAATGACCAGAGCTTGGCAGCTGATCTCGCTTTTGACCTTCAAGACTCTAAATGACCAGAGCTTGGCAGCTGATCTCGCCTGTGACCTTCAAAACTCTAAATGACCAGAGCTTGGCAGCTGATCTCGCCTTTGACCTTCAAGACTCTAAATGACCAGAGCTTGGCAGCTGATCTCGCCTTTGACCTTCAAAACTCTAAATGACCAGAGCTTGGCAGCTGATTTCGCCTGTGACCTTCAAAACTCTAAATGACCAGAGCTTGGCAGCTGATCTCGCCTTTGACCTTCAAGACTCTAAATGACCAGAGCTTGTCAGCTGATCTCGCCTTTGACCTTCAAGACACTATATGACCAGAGCTTGGCAGCTGATCTCGCCTTTGACCTTCAAAACTCTAAATGACCAGAGCTTGGCAGCTGATTTCGCCTGTGACCTTCAAAACTCTAAATGACCAGAGCTTGGCAGCTGATCTCGCCTTTGACCTTCAAGACTCTAAATGACCAGAGCTTGGCAGCTGATCTCGCTTTTGACCTTCAAGACTCTAAATGACCAGAGCTTGGCAGCTGATCTCGCCTTTGACCTTCAAAACTCTAAATGACCAGAGCTTGGCAGCTGATTTCGCCTGTGACCTTCAAAACTCTAAATGACCAGAGCTTGGCAGCTGATCTCGCCTTTGACCTTCAAGACTCTAAATGACCAGAGCTTGGCAGCTGATCTCGCCTTTGACCTTCAAAACTCTAAATGACCAGAGCTTGGCAGCTGATCTCGCCTGTGACCTTCAAAACTCTAAATGACCAGAGCTTGGCAGCTGATCTCGACTTTGACCTTCAAAACTCTAAATGACCAGAGGTTGGCAGCTGATCTTGCCTGTGACCTCTCAAACCCAAAAATGACTAGAGCTTAGCAGCTAATTTCGCCTCTGATCACCAAAACTCTAAATGACCAGATCTTAGCAGCCGATCTAGCGTTTGACATCTAAAACCCTAAATCACAAGAGCATGGCAATTGATCTCGCCTCTGACTTCAAAAACAATAAATGACCAGAGCTTGTGTAGATTTACACTGAACATTAACTTTTTAAAAATTTACTTGTAATTTTTCAGTGCGGTTTTGAAAATTCATCCATTGATGCTCGTAGCAAGAGTTCCTTGTTTATAAAGACAAAATTAAAAAAAAAAAAAAAGAAAAAGTTTAATGGCATTTTGGGAGAATGAACTCATTGGCCCCTGCGTTCCAGAACAATCTTAACAACCCTTCTGCCTCAGCTCCTGGGTCAAAAATTTGCAAATAATTGCTATGTAATATTTCACGGTAGATATAAAAAAATAGTTACAAGTGTTTACCCACCGTTCAACCTGCAGCTAGGCATTAAGTCATTTTGCTTTACCACTGGTCAACCGATGGTTGCGTATTTTTCTCTAACACCGGTAAACCGGTGGTCAGGGCTCCAAGGATTAACCTTTCTTAAAACAATTTTTTGAATTTTGTAATAGATTATTTTTTGTACAGAAATTAAACAAAGAGATAATTCTGAATTATCTTCTTTGACTAACTAATCTTTCCTATAGGAAAAGTTATATGATATTCATCTAATATTAATTCAATATATATATCCTTATTACTTAGTCAATATTGTGTTTTTAAATACATTGACACGGCTTTACTTTTTCGCGTGTTTGTATTTTCTTGCTTAAGTAAATATTTTTAAGCTAAGGGACGAAATTTTAAAGTTTTGAAAAAGGTTTGCATGATATTTGGAAAGATTTATAATTTTTATGCAATTTACTATTGCAAAGTATAAGTAAAGTGATATGTCTGTAAGACATACCATTCGCACATCAGAGATTACAAAACTTGATATTCCCATGTCATAAACCCATCATGGTACTAACCAAGCTGACGTTGCTTAACTACGGTGAACGTTCGAGGTGTTTCAACGTGACATGGCCGTAAAGTGTACCAACCACACACTAAAACTTACAACACATAGTATTCACAAATGGACACTCATCCAGGTACTGTCTAGGCTCGCCATTGCTTAACTTCGCTGATCATGCAAGACACGCGTTTCAAAGTGATATGGCCGTCAATAATAATACCACCCACACACCTGGTATTCCCAGGCGGACACCCATTTAGGTACTGACCATACCAACCTCATGCTCAAGCCTACAGCATCTGGTATTCCGAAATGGTCACTCATCAAGGTATTGACCAGGCTCCACATTGCTTAACTTCGCTGATCAAGCAAGAACCGCATTTCAAAGTGATATGGCTGTCAAATATACCACCCACACGCTCAAGCATCCGGTATTCCCAAGTGGTCACCCATTTAGGTACTGGCCATACGACCCTCACATCCAAGCCTACAGCATCTGGTATTCCCAAATGTTCACTCATCTAGATACTGACCAGGCTAGACATTGCTTAACTTCCCAGATCGTACGTGACACGGTGAGTATTTCAGGTTGACATTACTCGATAGATATTTATGTGCATGAAGTATTTTGATATTAATTGGTGTCCTGTTTAAGTAAAGTGTAATATACTTTTTATCTAATCTAATTCTGATGTCAGTAAAGGTGTTGGGAGTGGATGTATGTATGCCAGGAGGATTACATCCATATGGTCTGAGTGTATATATATATATATATATATATATATATATATATATATATATATATATATATATATATATATATTATGCAATCAAGAGAAAGAAATGTATTTATTTTTCATTTACGACCAGAACCCGGAGTAAAAAGAAACAAAAGTTTGTTCTGAAATGGATTTTTATGGCGTTTTATATGTTCCCAACTTTTTACTGGTCACCTTGTTTTTTCTACTCAGCCTTTATCTGTAAGTTCCCAATTATTTTTATTTATTTAATTTGCTATTTGAGACAAGCATTTGCCAAAAATTTTCACCTTAGACACATGATAAATAAAGGGGTTTTATTTACGGATTTTTGGTACAGATTGGATTTGTTTTTCGAAGGTTGTAATCAGTAGTTATGCAATATTCATATCCTGGCATTTATTTTTTATGCGTATTTTTATTCTCCTTAATTGCTCCCAGTGCTCTTACTACTACTGGATTAATGGTTGTTTTTAACTGTCAAAATGTTGTGATTTCCATTTCTATATCCTTATATCTGAAGAGCTGATCAAATTCTCAAACTGAAATGTTTTATCAGACGTTATTATCCTTTTTATAATTTATGTCATAATGTTTTTATTTTATTATTATTATTATTATTATTATTGAATATATGAAAAAAACATTCAAAAAATGAACGCCCCTCACATCCAAAGTAAGCTCGTAAGTTAGTTTCGAGAAAGAGATGCTAACTTCAATTTTTAGGCTATTCTTCGAAACCCAGGGTGTAGTCACAACTTTTGGCGTATAGTGAATCTTCTAATGAAGGTATTATTATTATTATTATTATTATTATTATTAAGCGGCTTGTAATCCCTTCAATGAGTCTATTGGAAGATTTTCCAATCAATCAGAGGGCTCCAACTACAACTGGAATTGTTTATATCCTTATGTGTCACGATTTTGAGATTTCAATTTCAAAGTCCTTGTATTTTGATAATTTTTTGAAGATCATCAAAGATACATTGCAGTCTGCAGAGATTGCCATGTCAATAAGAAAGCAGATTTTGTCTTTGCAGTCTCTAAATTATTATTATTATTATTATTATTATTATTAAGGTTACTGATGAAAACATTTCTTAAGTTAACTCTACATTTTCTATCCCAGAATGTTTTAAACAGATTTATTGTGGATTTATTCTTTCCAAGTTCCATAAAAAGACACGCCATAAATATCGGACCATAGTTTTTAAATTTCAACACATTTTAGCCATTTGAACACATTTTAGCCATTTTCTTAAAAAAAAAAAACTTTTTAAGATGCATTATTTTAGTGATTCTAGGAGTGTTTGATTCTTGGTAAATTCTTTTTTTTTTCTTTTTATGTACCATGTCCTTTCAGGACGTAGGCGATCGTGGCTCTCTACCTCCCTCTATCCCTTGCAGTTCTCAACAATTTCCTTCCCTCTGCTTCCTCCTCCAGACCACATTCTGTCATCCATTTGCTTAAGTCCGCCAGGTATGACACGCGTGGCTTTCCCTTGTCCCTCTTTCCCTCTATTCGATTCGTGAGTATCAGATTCTCAAGGCCCTTCTTCCTCATTATGTGTCCCAGAAACTTCAGCTGCCTCTTCCTGATGTTAACTATAAGCCTCCTCCTTGAATTGCATCCTCTCTAAGACCTCATCGTTGCTCACACACTCGGTCCGTGATATCCTTAGTAAATTACGTTTGGGAAAAACAAACAAAAGGTAAAATGATAAAGTAATAAACATCATGTGTACTAAAAACTGTTTTATGGAATTCTTCGGTAAAAATTGATTATTAAAAATCAAAAATAAATAAAACAGATTTTCACTCATGAAAATCAATCACTGAATTGAGTTAACGTTTTTCAGATCTATAATCATTTACCTGCTGCCATATGCAGCAAGATGTGGCACAAGGCCGAGTTTAAAGTGGGGTAGGCTCAGGCAAAAAATTCCCTATAGACCACGTAAAAACGGAGTCAGTTTCCCGAGACGAGCGGATACCCTCTGACATAAGCCAGGTAAGTATTTCAGAAGTATATATTGGTAATTTTTCAATTTAATACATTGTATAAGTAAAAAAACAAAAACCCACTCTGAAAAAAAATAGCTTATAGCTCTGTCTAAACACCGACTAGCACGCTTCTCACTAGAGACTTGTGGAGATCTCATTGACTGTTTGCCCTGTGACTAATTAAAACCTCATATTCCACTGAGACCTATAAGCAATAAACACATTAATCAATTCTTGATAGATGGCTAAAATATAAGTCAGTTGACAAAATTCCCCTCCTGAGCTAAAAACGGATTCTGATTTGAACAACGTTTATAGTGCGATACATCAGATTTTGGATTTTGTTTTATTTGATACAAATCCATTGTTCAAATTTATAATTCTGTGAAGTCCTGATTTTTCTTACCTTTAGATTTGACTTTATTCGATTTCATTTTTGGCTTAATTTCTATTAATCTGGTCGATTCTGGCGCCATAACCTTGATTCAAACATTCCTAAAATTTAAATTTCAAATTGCTGTTTAAAATATCGATCAGGATATATTTATTCCCAACCTTTTTACATATAAACCTAACCTTAGACATTTAAGTAAAGATCAGTCTGAATCATTAAACTACTATGGGTCGGCGCTACATAATCTTCCGAAAAATAGCAAAATAATGTTAAATACTTGGCTCTTTGCATATGTTTCTTTGTATTGTCTTCAATTGTTTAAATAATAAAATTCCTTAAAGCTTAGCTCCAAATGATTATTGTTGATACAATTTGGACGAAACCGTCTGCTTCATCCGGTCTCGTCTGCTTAATCCTTTATATTATGTATGGAGCTGAGTTCTGAAAATCACAAACATTCTTCGTCAAGTATTTCCCAATCGGACAACTTCGTCTCGTCTTGCCAGATTTATTTCTAGTACCTCGTTTTGTCATCAAGAAAAGAATTCTCTCCAGTTTAAGACCCGAGAGTCACTGTAAGTAGAGGGTTACTTGTTTGTTTTGGATTGATTTGTTTTACGGTATATAAACCTCAGTGGGTTATTTAATGCCGAGAAGATTTTTATTGCTGGTAATATTTTTTTCAAAAATATATTAACTGTCTTCTTGGTAATATTTTTTCCAAAACTATATTGTTGGTAATATTTTCCCAAAATATTATTACTGGTAATATTACTAGCAATATATTTTTTTGCTGGTAATTTTTTTAGAAAAAGATATATTGCTGGTAATATTTTTCTGTTTCAAAAATCTATTGTTGGTAATAATGCTCCTCAAAACCTCCTGATCAGAGGTCTTGATGTTGGACGTAGTTTATCATCTTACCCAGGATACGGATGTAGTTTATCGTCTTACCCAGGAGGCGGATGTAGTTTGTCGTCTTACCCAGGACACGGATGTAGTTTATCGTCGTATCCAAGACGTAGAGGGTTACTGAATGAGGTTTGTTGATCTTTGACTTAAAGTGGCAGTTGGGGATTTTTCCTGATATAGTAGTGACATTCTGTTGTGTTTTTATATGTAGCATGTTTTCAGTGCAAGTGATCTTTAGACCATCTGTCTTAGTTTCTCGGGTTCTATGAGAAAAACGGAAAAAGTCAGCGAAATCAAAAGTAGTCTAAAACTGAAAACATGCTACAAATAAAGACACAACAGAAAAATCACCAGTACATCACAAAAATACCCACAACCCTCACCAATAAACTGTAGCTGACGACAAACTATCGTAAGATCCCAGGGAAACAAATAAAAAATATACAGGAATAACAGACAGCCCAGAGAAACAGAAAACAGAGAAGCAACTCGCACAAAATATGCAATCAAACAATATATCTGGGAACTCACGATAATACCCAAACTGCCACTTTAAGTCAAAGATCAACAAACCTCGTTCAGTAACCCTCTACATCTTGGATACGACGATAAACTACATCCGCGTCCTGGGTAAGACGATAATACGGAAAAGAAGGGAAAAAGTACAAGTTTCTAAAAATAATTCAAACGATGCAACCTCTTTCTGGAGGAGAAAAACTCTCCTAAAAAAAAGACCTGAGCTCATTTTAAAATGTAGACACGAAAACAAATTACTACTATGCTGAATACATTATGACACAAAGGATTAACTTTTCCCACAAACTAAACAAACTTGATTTTAAATACTAACAATAAAAGCTGAAGAAAATATACAAAACAAAGGAATAAATGAAATAAGAATTAATTAAAAAAAAAAAATAGACTAACTAAACCTCGTGGCTATAAAAAAAAAATACCTAAGGCATTACCCTTAAACAAAAAACATATGAAGGTGCTCGTATCCATTAATCATCCAGTAGCCTAGCTCTGTCAAACAAATTAGAGACACACGGTCTGGAGATCGTTTGAGGCAGGAAAACAGATGGTCACTATTCTGTGTTTATTCATATGTCTACACTGATTTTCCCTCACTTTCGGTCTGAGTGTCTGTCTATTTATCTCTTTCTCTCTCTCGCTTTCTCTCCTCCCCACAAACATGTACACACACAAACATACACACACACACACACACACACACACACACATATATATATATATATATATATATATATATATATATATATATATGAGCCCAATTGATATAATGCTAAAACTCTAATCTTGAATATATATATATATATATATATATATATATATATATATATATATTCCCGAAGTACACCGTATACGATACATAATACCTCAACCAATTTAGAGGCGTATTGTTCCTTGAAGATATGTCAAGTGCAGTAGCAAATTTCATTAAAATTAGACAAGGGGTTCTTGTGCTCAGGCTGTTTGTTTGTTTTTTTTTTTTTTTTTTTTTTTTGTTTGTTTGTTTTTTTACGTCATTTCAAATAAAAAATTCCTTATTTGTTTTCGATACAAATTCTTATATCAATCCGCTTATATAAACTAACACTTGCATATTACGTTTCAACTATGCATGTGAAAAATAATAAATATACATAATAAATTAGAACATTATTAAATAAACTTATATATACATAACACAACATATATTTATACAATTCACGAATACTACATTAGAATTTATAAAAAAAACAACTACTTGAAATGTAAAGAGGCAATATGCGTCACATGACTTGACAGCAAATAAATAAGTAAATACAACCTGATTTTCTACTGTTACTTTTTTAAAATAAACGCGAGAAAGAAACAAGTATGTATAATAAAAAATATACTTATTTTG